AAAAAAAAAATAAAAAAAAAAAAAAAAAAAAAAAGATTGTAGAAAATTTAAAATATAGAAAAATGGCAATTAGAGCACCAAGAATTTAACATTTTGCTAATTCTGAGACTGTGTATATTAGAAGATGAAGATTAAATCATGTGACAGTTTTCAAGAACAGTCTGGAAAATTGTAACCACAGACTCAATAATTCTATTATACCATACACACATACCCACACACTATGATAATTTCTGATGGAATGTTGTTTGCTCCATTCAAAGGTAAACACAGACAATGAAGAGTACCTGTTTTGTCTGTCAATAAATATACTAGGCGCCCCAGTTCCTCTGGTATAGTGCTGGTCCGAACGACTGTGCCAGGAATATTCTCGTCTTTCATAATCATCCATCCATATGCTGCTTTGCCCATGTCCAAGTTCACACGCAAGCTGCCAAATAAAACCCACTAGAGTCATTGATGTGATCCAGACCCATGCAATTTGTTCACATTCATGGTTTCCATACAAACTTATGTTCGTTATCTTTAATTTTGTATGGAAATAAATAGATAATATTGAATTTCAGACTTTAAAGTAAATGAATTTGTTGCCATTTAAGTCAACTAATGTTTTTACACTCCAGATAATGTCTGCAGGCAACACTCTGTCCACACAGAAAGAGGAATTGTTGTGAGTGTGCGCTGAGATGCGAGTACCACAGGTGCTAAAGGGGAAGAGCGCACAGGCCCAAGGGGACCAGTCAGAGTCTCGCTGGGAATGGACATGCAGGATGTGTCTCAAGCTTTCCCTACTCCTTGCACAACTAGCAACTGAGTGTCTAACATGTTCCATGTTTCAACTAGAAAACACAGGAACAAACAAAACATAACATGATAAAGACAAAGATGCCTGTTACTCTTCTTTGAACTTTTTAGTTATTTTTAAAATTCTATAATTTAAAGCTGTACAGTAAGACTGCAATTTAAAGCTCATGGGGCAATTCTGCTGTCATCTTGGGTAGAAGCATGGGCTTGGAATGGACGGCCTCCAGGGAGCCTTCCATACCTGTACCTACAGAAGAACACACACTAAAGTCACACCACTTCAGGGGATACACTCTGCTTGTGTTAGCTATTCACAGTGCAGCTCTTCCCACACAGCAACTCAAAAATGTTCAGCTATGTCTAATTTAACTCATTAGAAAACCATCAGATTGGATGTATTTAATCCATGGAGTGAAACTGCGGATATTCAACCATTTTTGACCTACTAAAATGTCAATTCATATGCTTCCACCTACTAATCGGGGCACACCTGAAAAACAAGCTTTAGGAATCAGTCAGTGAAGAAAGTCTGTATGTAAGTTAAAGAAAATTCAATAATCATAATTTCATTTATCTGCCCAGAAAGTTCACATCTTAAAAATCATAGGAACTATACTAGTCAGAAAGAAAATCTTTAATTGAATTAATTGCACAGAACTTTTAAACCAGCACCTCACCATCTTTTCGCTATTTATAATCCTGTGAGAATAGTAAAAGAAAATAACCAAAAACAACAACCAGTAAGAGAAGATGATTCAGAATCCCCACAAGAGGACGTTCCCAGCAGGACGAAGCAGCCCCGGGCCTCCTTATGGGCAGCGCCGGTCCAGGATGGCCATAGAGCCCTGGCAAGGAGGGAGGCAGCAAGACACCTAACATCTCTGTGACTCAGGGGTCACCCCTTAACAACTGGGACATGGACGAAACCTCTTTTTATCAGCTGTGGTGGAGGGAAAATGAATCACAACATGTCAAACGTCTAGAAAGGTGCCTGACAGGCAGCAAAGGCTCAAGAGACATTAGGGGCATTCCTGCAAATGCTTACTAAATAGCAAGCCTGCTCAGCACAAGGCCAAGGCAAGTGGGAGGTTTGAGAAGGAAAAGATAAAACACTCTTATGTGAGCTCTTCTTTGATTTAGGATTTGGAGAGTGTCTAAAATCAGAAAACTTAAGTGAAAGTCATGGGCTGCTTGGCTCAAATGTAGGCAAGAGTTGGGATGGAACAAGGCAGGCAAGGTGGCCTGTGAGTGACCACAACCCTTTGAGTGTAAAGTGGGGGAAAGGGCTTGGAAAGGAGGCCCTGACACCTTATTAAGCTTTTCATAGCTTGGATTCTTTGGCTTAGAGACCTGCACTTTAGAAAAACATGACTTTTTATCTGTGTGTTGTTTTCTCTCGGATTTTGGTCAAATTATTCTGGAAAATGTCAGCCTGTGCAGCTACTGTCACACAAGTGGATTTCTGTCTTTAGCTGGGCAGGAATTTTTGAAGAGCTATAGTCTGCCACTGGGCTCAGGGCTGCAGAAACCAAAGAAGCATCTTCTAGGTTCTTCTTGTGGTGGGTGGTGTTCTCTTCAAATCGGGAATGATTTGTGGTTTAATAAAACAATTTACATGGTTAGAGTTGTAAGAATTTATTATTTCATGGAACAAATAATTGCCACTCGAATATTTTAGGTTGAATACAAACACCCTTCCAAAGACTATGAAACAGCAGCTACTGGTGAAGAGAAGAGAGATCCTGTTCAGTGTGATCAAGATAAACACAACTATTGCAAAATGCAAGTTTACAGTTTACTAGTAAAAAACCGCTGACTGGGCCGGCCCGGTGGCGCACTGCTACAGTGCGCCGCTTGGGAGTGCAGCGGCGCTCCCGCCGAGGGTTCGGATCCCACATACAGACCGGCCGCCCACTGGCTGAGCGAGGTGCGGGCGCAACCCCGAGGGTTGCGATCCCGTTGCCGGTCATGAAAAAAAGACAAAAAGGAAAAAAAAAAAAAAA